TATTGTATTTATAGTGTGCATCTTCATTGTAATCATTCTTAGAATAAATACAGAAGTGCCAAACAGGCCATTATCACAGTGGCCTATGGGCTGAGGCGCAGGAACTGAAGGGTGCTGCAGACAGACACCAGTGCTTCTCAAGGGCTGGCCAGGAGACCTTGAGAGAGGCTGGTGAAGAGGAGAGGGATGTGGGGTGAACTTGAAATGTGATCAACAGAGTCAATGCAACACACCCTAGAAACAGATACAGGGCTTTGGTGTTTTTTTTTTTTTTTTTTTCTTTTTTTTACTATTTTACTAGATGATACTAAAACAGAACAAAGAGATTCAAGATCCCACATGAGTGAGAGTCCAGGGCCTTCCCCACGGCCCTGGCCCCAGCCTGTGCCTTGTTTTTGCTATTTCCACCCAGGCATACACCACACAGCAGAGTTAGTAGAAGCGTATGTGCACAGCCACTGAGCCACGCACACACCACGGCACTGGCATCCTTCAGGGGCAACTGGCATATGGAATGAGTGCGGATCTGAAGAAAGATTTCCCAGTTCCAAAGCTGGGCCCGCAGGTCCTGTGGGGATTTACAAAGACATGGATGGTGTTGGTTCCTGGAGCATCTTTCTGCCTCTCTGGCTTTGTCTGGTCTCAGCCTCGGGGCCGTGAGCCGGGGCTGTGCTAAGCAGGAAGCGGGAGGAGGCACACCACTGTCTCCCGCCTGCCAGGAAGTTTCCCTTTTCATGAACAGCCCTTGTGCCAGGTACAATGGTCTCTCTGTTCTCTCACGAAACTCATCCACAAAAGATAGAGTCTTTTGACAGACAGTCCCACTGCTCTGAAGCCCTTTATGTTCATTTCTGATTGACAATTTTGGACCAAGGCCAAGAGGTCATCTAATTCATGTTGCTTGGTCATGAGAGTTGTTCTTGTCATCTAATGAGGCATGAGGCATGCTAATGGCAAGGCCGGGATGCCACCCCAGGCTTCAAGGCTGTTAGAGGTCTTGAGTGCACACACACATACACGTCAGAGCCCCAATTAGGTCACTTGTAACTTTGTCTAGCAAAACAGGCTCCATCAGGCTTGCCATCATTAAGAAAAGTTGTGGGCCGGGCCCGGTGGCTCACGCCTATAATCCCAGCACTTTGGGAGGCCGAGGCAGGTGGATCACGAGGTCAAGAGATCGAGACCATCCTGGTCAACATGGTGAAACCCCGTCTCTACTAAAAATACAAAAATCAGCTGGGCATGGTGGCACGCGCCTGTAATCCCAGCTACTCAGGAGGCTGAGGCAGGAGAATTGCTTGCACCCAGAAGGCGGAGGTTGCGGTGAGCCGAGATTGTGCCATTGCATTCCAGTCTGGGTAACAAGAGCGAAACTCCATCTCAAAAAAAAAAGTTGTGATAGTACAGTAGAGAGACTTCTTAGGGTCGGAGGGAGGAGTAGAAGGAAAACAGGTATTTAAAAGGCTATGCTTCAAGAGGACATTTCATGCTGTCAAAATGAGATTGTGAATCAGAAAGTTCTCAAGGAGCAGCAAGGTGCTGTCAACTAGGAGTCGGTTTCTTCTCAGTCATGGCACTGACTCCCCTCCACGGGGCTCTCACCTGTGGGAGGAAAATGGAGGAGTTGTGCCTCTCTGTCTGTGTGATTCGGGGAGAAGAATATGGAGTATCTTAGTAGCGTTCCATTATTACTGGCCCCTAAATGCCATGATGATGCCAGCCCCTGCACAGATAAACTCCTGCTTTTGTAGCTTGAAATATATTTTAGATAAACCATGATTTGACATCCTCAGAGAGAGAGAGGAGTAGATAAGCCCCCATTCCACGTGGGCAGTAGGGATCCTGCAGAAATGGCTGAAATAAAATTTGACCAAAAGAGATGAAGTTCTACTGTCATGTTGCTTCTGCCTGTTCCCTCCAGATTGAAAGGCATTTAGGTCATCTCGGAACTCGGTCTCCTCCAGGACACAGCAACAACACATTTTCAAGGAACAGCCTCGTTATTTATAAAATCTGTAGAGTACAACACATAACCGCCTCACTAGCAGGAGCTTGGGTCTGGCTCTTCTGTACTTACGATATGGCTTGATAATCAGAATGTGATTCCAATTCTGATTCCAAAGTGAGAACCTCCCAGATCATCCATGTCTTCTTATCATCTCTCTCCCTGCAGCTCTCTCCCTTCTCCTCCCCACCAAGAAATGGAACTTGAACCTGCCTTTCTCTAAGGTCTGCGAAGCGTCCCTAATATATCACAGCATATATCTCATGTTCTTTTTCTCTCTACAACTTGATCCTTCCCATCCCCATTCATCCCGGAGTTGTAAGATGCAGATTAAAGGTTTTGTCACAGCAGAAGGAAATCAGAGGGAGATGCCCCATCTCCTGAGGAAAGAAGCTGAGCTTCCCAAGCAAAACCTAAGCAGAGAGTGCACATTCTTGTCCAAAAGCTTGGAGAAGCAGCAGAATTTCCAGGACACTTGAAAGTATGTTCTGGCAAAGCCCAGATAAATTATTTTCCAACCATTAATGGCCCACCAGCATGTAGTCCCAGAATTCAGACCACTTACTGATCTCACACAGATACAGCAAGCAGCTTAGAGTTCCTGCCGCCTGGTCTGAGAGCCCATCCACAGAGCGGATGGCTCTGGGGTCGCCATGGTCCCAAGATAAAGGGGCACCCAGCAGATCCCTAAGGCCTGGCCTGTTTGCAGATTGAGCTGCAGAGAACACCTTGAGGTGTTGCAAGTGTCCAGAGAGCCAAAGTGTGTAGGGTCCAAAGCTAGGTCCTTCCTGATGTGCCTGGGAGCTCCGGGGACCTCAAGCGTGGGCCTCAGTCTCCTCCTTGGTGGCTGGCTTGTAAATGACTCCCCTGTTGCCACCTTTTTTGTTACTGGAACAAAAAGAACACATGAGTCTTGTTAGAGGAGAGAGAGCAAGCCAAAGAGCAGCCTGACTCAGGTATGGAATGAGGCCGTTTGTAGAAGGTGGATTCCTCTCTCTTCTTGGGAAGGAATGTCACCCAATAAAGCTTTAACCAAAACAGAACGTTCTCATTTTCCAACTGTTCTCTTTCACACCTCCCAATATTACACCTCTATTTTGAAAGAGGTCTCATGGTCACCGACTTCAAACCTCTGATTCCATAACAGGGTTCCCAGCGACCTTTTTATTTTTCATACCCTCAAAATAAATTAGGTTTTAGGAAAAGCCAAATGTGACAATAAAAACATGGGCAAAGGGCATTAAGAGTTAATGTGAGTGAGAAATCAGCTTTTCCTTCGTCTTTCTTTTTGGATTCATAGACGAAAAACCACATGTAAAGATCTTGATGAGAAGACAACCTTGCTGCTTACGTTTAGGCACAAGCCCCAAGTCGAGAGACTCGTCCAAGGCTGTGAAATAGCAGCAAGGCACACACACTTCCAAATCTGAGCACAGTGACCCTTGAACAACTGGGGTCACACGTGCGTCTCGTGCCAAGAAGGCCAGGGCACAAGTGCTTTGGGGGCAGCACTCCTAGGGTTGGTATTGGTCCAGGTGACTGCGGCTCTTCATTCCACAAAGCTGCCTTCCCAGGCAGACCAACCATCATGGACACATAGTTGCCCATTCCCATTCTGAACCCAAACCAGCTCACCTCTTCCTTCTGAAAAGCCAAACGGACACCACCAGCACAATGCAGATGCCAAGAACACCGGCCAGGGCCAGCGAGAGGATGACGCCTGGTGAAGAGGTAGAGGGCACACATTACACTCCTTCCTTCCCCTTTATCTTAGCCCACGGCCCCCCCGTGTGAAATCACAGCCCAGCTACGTAGTCATCCACAGAAAGGAATAATTTCCCCAGCCCTGTTCTCGGATTCTGGTCTTTGGCTTAGTGGGACTGGCTGAGCCTTTTGAGGGGCCACTTGCAAATTCTAGTTTTCCAGCAGAGGCTCTCAAACTTGCACAAGGGCCATCTGAAGAGCTTGTTTGAAATGCAGGGTTTTTTTTTTACCCCAACCCCCAGAGATTCAAATTCAATCTGTTTGGTGTGGGGCCAGGAATCTGCATTTTACCAAATACTTCCAGCTGATGCTGATGCACATGGTCCAAGAACCACGCTTTTTTTTTTTTTTTTTTTTTGGGACGGAGTTTCGCTCTTGTTTCCCAGGCTGGAGTACAATGGCGCGATCTCAGCTCACCGCAACCTCCGCCTCCTGGGTTCAAGCAATTCTCCTGCCTCAGCCTCCCGAGTAGCTGGGATTACAGGCACGTGCCACTACACCCAGCTAATTTTTTGTATTTTTAGTAGAGACGGGGTTTCACCATGCTGACCGGGATGGTCTCGATCTCTTGACCTCGTGATCCACCCGCCTTGGCCTCCCAAAGTGCTGGGATTACAGGCTTGAGCCACCGCGCCCGGCCTAAGAACCACACTTTGATAAGCCCCAGGCTTCACAAATAAGAACTTTGCCTGGTCTTTGCCTGCTGGGTTTACGGTCCATTGGCTGTCTCTATCAGTTTTGCTCCCAAGTTCCATTGTGCAGTCCTAAGCAGTCCCAGACGACCAGTAGTCCATTGCCAAGGTCATATGGCCTGTCAGCTGACCTCCACACTGGGCTCTGGCATGTTTTCAGCAACAGCCTCCCACCATGACCAAAAGAAGGTCTTAGATAGGTTCTTTGAATACACACATGCTGTAGAGTGATTAGATCTTTCATTAGAGGAATATTTGATTGGCAGTTCATCTTTGAATCAGAGAGTGACTTGAGGGTAAGACCCATAGCAAGGAGAGAGCCAGGAGCCAGAGCAATAGCACAGAGAAGCAGAGAGGATGGGCTGGATCACAGGCCCAGATCACACCAAGAATCACAGTGAAGCAGAGAGGATGGGCTGGATCACAGGCCCAGATCACACCAAGAATCACAGTGATCACCCAGCTGCAGCATGCACGGCTGGCTGCCCAGCCACATACCCAGACTCAGTCCTGCGGCGGGACAGACTTCCACTTAACAGGGGAGAGGAAAAGACTGGAGGTTACTCTAGAGTCAAACCATGCTGGATTTGAGCATCATGTGGAGAGACGCTCTACCTTTTGTCTGGTTGGCAGTACGGGTCTTAGGCAGACAGACCTCTAGGGGTGTTCACCCTCGGCTCAAGGACTGCCTGAGGGAGTAGAGGAAATTGCCCATCTAGGGAATTCATACTGCAATCCCTCCTTCCGATGCTAGGGCAAGACTTCAGGATTTTTTTGTTTGTTTTATTGGAGACAGAGTCTTGCTCTATCACACAAGCTGGAGTATAGTGTTGACTGACTGCAACCTCCACCTCCTGGGCTCAGGCAATTCTCTTGCCTCAGCTTCCTAGTGGCTGGGATTGCAGGCGTTTTTTTTGTACTTGGCTAATTTTTGTACTTTTAGTAGAGATGGGGTTTTGCCATGTTGGCCAGGCTGGCCTCGAACTCTTGACCTCAAGTGATCCACCTACCTCAGCCTCTTGAAGTACAGGGATTACAGGTGTGAGCCACCACGCCCAGCTAAGACTTCAGTTTTTATTACAATGTGGTCACAGAGGAAAAGTGAAGGGTATGGATCAGAGTCTGCTTGGGCAGGCTGCTGTCCACGGTACCTGTCTCTCTTCCAAAGCAAGGGACCCACCAGCAGACTTCTCCCCCAACCCATCCAGCTTGTCCTCATGGTTTGGTTCTATTTTTGCTTTGTCCCTCCTGGATAAACTCCTTCACCATACACCAGCCTCACTGCTCTGCTCTTTGGAACCAGAAGATTATGGCTTCAACCAGCAAATTACTGTTGGGAATAAATAAGGTGAATGAGAAGTCCTCAGTGGGGCTGAAACTGTGCCCAGCTACCTAAGGCAAAGTCTCAGTCGGCCTGCTAGGCACCTCCTGGGGGAGAATCACATGTGAATGCATCGTCTTGAGTGAGCAGAGGAGCAAGTCATGAAGTCTCCCCTGGAAACCCTAGCCTGTTTTTTCCAAGGTTGTTTTTTCCTGTTTTTTCCCGCAACCATTCCCCATTCTCCTAATCGGGTCCTCTGTCTAAAGAAAGTGGAGATTTACACATACCCTCTGTCTGGTGGTTTTCTAATAAACTTCTAGCATGTGTGTGTCTGTGTTGGAGGAAGAAGGGGTATTTGTTCCAACTCACATTGGGAACCATAGTTATACAGATGGTGGCCACCCGGCCTGACACAGAAGATCGTGTGCCCATAGAGCCCACAGGGGTGGCTGAGGCCCTCGGAGAGCCCCGGTCAAGTATAAGATGCCAGCAGGGAGCCAATGACTCTCCCTTGGGGCTCCTGACACCCTGGGGAACGAGATCTGAGGCTGCAGGGTGAGGTTCTGCTCACCCTCATCCTACTCCTGTCCAATGGCTTGAGTCTGGCTGGTTCCCCAGGAGCTATCAGCTGTGTGCTTTTCCTATTGCCTTTTTCTGCAATCTCGTATTGAACCTGCAAAGCCTCCCTGATCCAAGCCTGGGCCCTGGGGGTTCCTGATCTGGCTTCCCAGGTGGCACCGGCCTGCGGTGACGGTTAGCAAAGCAGGCAGTGAGAAGAGCTGTCCCCAAGGACAGGAGGCCTATTCTCCCTGCTCTGCTGGCCACCACTAGCAGCTCATGACCTCCCAAGTGGCAGAGAGTGGCTCCATTGGCCTGACTCCCTGGCCCAGCCTCTTTGTGTAACCTGAACACAAGGACCAGCCTGTGGCTTGGGAAGGTGCTCAGATCATGAGTCCCCACCTGGGGGGAGCTTCTAGTGTTTGCACAGTGCAGGCTCTGTTTCCTGCAGGGCCTGTGGCCTCTGCACACTGTAATCTGGCATTAGGGTTGGTCGTTTCTTTTTTAAATGTAACCAGAGACCATGGTCCTTGGCATCTTAAAAACACAAACATAATAAACCTAGCCATGGTTTTTCTTCCAAACCCTTTGACGAAATGTGCTCTCGCTCTTTGTTCCTGAGGCTCCAGATGCTTGTGGTGCCAAACCATTCTCGCCACCTGAAGATTATTACCAGGAAGCCTCACCGCCTGGCTAAGCCATCCAGGCTGTACAGTTTCTAAGGTTGTCTCTTTCACAGTCACCTCAAACATCCTGAGGAGCCACATAGGCCCCAGACCACTGAGCAGCCAGCTCAGTCTGTGGCTGGCAGAGGTGCCCTTCATGCCTGGTCTTGGGGAGCTGAGCAAAGTCTATATATGGACAGCAAGGCCCCCAGGGTGGGGTTTTCTCAGGGCACGTGCCCTACCTGGTAGCTTCTCTGGAGAGAGTCTGGCTTGCTCTTGTTATGACGCAGACCTCCTGTTAAAAGGCTCTGTAAGCAGCAGCATAGTTTAACCCAGGGCTCTAACCCCGGCTCTTTGCTCCTCGATGACCACTTGTCAAGGCCGAAATGAACTCTCCTTGGAAACAATTAAATGAGACCAAACAGCCATGAAGACAAGGAAGAGCCCCCGAGACTGGGACAGATGCTTTTCAGCCAAGACTGATACAGTAAAATCGAAGCAGCTTGACTGAGCAAGCATAAGCTGCTAAGGAACAGGAATGCTGGCAAGGGTGTCGCCTAAGAGTCCCACCACCTCGGGAAGCCCAGGGCAGGAAGGTGTTGTTGGAATACCGTGCCTGCCAACTGAGACAGCACCAGCCATCAAGGACGTGTGGCTTCTTTGCAGAAATGCGCTTGAGTCCCACTGGAGGCAGATGCCAAAGCATCTGATATCTGATGGGAGAGAGAAAGTCAGCGAGACTCTCAGGGTACAGGGAGAACTGTCAGGGCAACCAGAGAACTAGAGGCTGAGAGAGAAGCCAAAGCCTGTTTCCCAGCAGAGCCTCAGGTGGGTGAGAGCCCAGCCTCTAGGATGCTGTAGAGAACGGGCATCAAAGATGGTGCAGGGACGGGCCGAACCAGAGAAATTCACTTTCAGGTTAAAGAAAGAAATGGTTTTTTTCTGAGTAGGAAAGAAGGCAGGCAGTTCCCACGGAAGAACAATGGGACAGACAAGAGAAATGGAGACAGGCTGGGTCACAGAGGTGGCCCATGAGAGGCATTCCAGAGAGGTGAGGACCCAACAGAGGAGCTCCTGGGCTGACTGGTAAGAGGGTGGGCACCACGTGGACGTGGGAGAGCTGCCTGTTCACAAAGGGCTCAGGTGTGAGTCAGGTGAGCAGAGATGGCAGCGTGACACACACAAGGAGACCACACGGAGACACAAGCACTCGAGGGGCACACGCCTCGCCCAGGAAGGTACAGACACAGGGAGAAGGTCGGCGAGCGGCTTGCCACGGGGCCTTGCTACCTGTTTTGGTGGGCCCGGGAGCCGTGTCTTCCACTGGCATCTTGCTGGACTGAGGGATGCTGGTTAAGGGCTTTTGAGGTCTTCTGAAGCCTCAAGCGTAAACACAGCAAAGGCCAGCGGGAGGAAGAAGCACCTCACTTTCGCATCTCCAGGTTCCTGAAACAACAGTCTGGCATTTTCTCACTCTATTTACAATTCTGTTTGACGGTGGACTATCATCCTTTTCAAGCATTATTGTCAAGTATGGACTATTGACACGGATGGCATGTTACGTAGTGATAACATACGACATAGCCTTAGCTGTCTCCAGCCTTATAAAAGAGGTCAGGAGAGTTTAGATTTACCAGGGGTTTGATAGTTTAAATACACAAAATCTGTGTTAGGAAGGTTAAAAACTCCCGTGATTACACTTAAAAAAATCACGGAGTCAAACGGCAATGCCATTGATGTCTCATGATGCTTTGCTAAGACAAGCGAGGAAGAAGCCCTCACCACGCAGCACAGACATCTTTAGAGGACATATTTAACTAGGGATTTCTCCTTATGAACATTACGCAACCCAAAAAAGACACAATTTCTATCAAGAAATCTGCCAACAACGTATCACCAGATTATATGCGAGAACTGGTTTGTTTTTTTTTTTTTGAGACGGAGTTTCGCTCTTGTTACCCAGGCTGGAGTGCAATGGCGTGATCTTGGCTCACCGCAACCTCAGCCTCCTGGGTTCAGGCAATTCTCCTGCCTCAGCCTCCCGAGTAGCTGGGATTACAGGCACACACCACCATGCCCAGCTAATTTTTTGTTGTATATTTTTTAGTAGAGACGGGGTTTCACCATGTTGACCAGGATGGTCTCGATCTCTTGACCTTGTGATCCACCCGCCTCGGCCTCCCAAAGTGCTGGGATTACAGGCTTCAGCCACCGCGCCCGGCCAGGAGAACTGGTTTTATACAACCATGATGAGACTGAGGGCTTTGCCTATAGACTGCAGGAATGCAGGCCCTGCAGACAGCCACGTTGCTCCAGAGGGCTCAATCCCAGAGCCTTGGGGGCAGTTACAACGGTGGCACTGGGTGCTTGGCACTCTAAGCTGCCTTCACTGTGCCTGCTGAAGGAATGGGTGGTGGGACGGGGGCTTTTAGTCCCTCTCAAGCCAGAGCCACAGAAGGCAGGCACAGCAGCATCTCTAGGCAACTTCCTCCCAGGCCTTCCAAACTGACAGCTAAGTTCTGATCTTTAACTTTTCCTAAACAAATGGGTTGATTTTTAACACTGTTAGCACAGGGAGAGCAAAGAAAAATAAGACAATAAGACTAAAGGTGACAACTGTTTAGGCTTCTGTGTAAATCATGCTGCAGAGAAGACACTGGGAAGGGGACGGAATGGGAGGTGGGTCAGGGACGTTCTTTCCACAAGCTTATACTGAGCAGCAGGCAGAATGCCCAGCATAAAAATGTGTCAGACGTCAGTCATCCCCGGCCTGAACGAATTTGCAGTGTGTGTATCATATATGCATATTGTTCTTTTTCTGGTTGCCTTTGTTGTATGGTAATAATGACTCTATGGTGTGTCTAGTAACATAACAGAGCCGGAGAAGTGGTTCTGGCTGCGCTGAGTGAGATTAAGGGGAATAGAGAGGACTTCCAGAAGGACCTGATGAGAACTGGGTCTTGAAAGAATTTTCCAGACGGAGGAGGGAGGGGGCATCTCAGACATCAAGTATGTGTACTTGAAAGCACCTGCCCTACAGTTTTGGGGGCTGGGGCCAAGAGGGCAGGGATAGGGCTGTGGGGAGATGACGTGGAAGGATCAGCTGGGACCCTGTCACCAAGGGTGGGTCCAGCCTTCTGCCCGGCCCCTTTTCCCACTGTCTTTCCATTCTGTGCCATCAGCTGTGTTTAGGAGCAAGATGACACCCACCATGGGGTTTTCTGGCTCCCATAGCGTGTAACCCAGGCTGTGCTCAGGAACCATGTGGTGTGTTAAAGGGACAAGCACCTCATTTCTTAGCATCTTGGACCAAAGCTCCTGACTGTTCAGTCCCCGACCCAGGCCAGCAATTGAAGGTGATAGCCAGGCTCGCTAATCATTTGGATCTTTTGGGAGAATTGATGCTATTCTTTCAGCCAATAGCTTTTATTTATAAATACAAACTTTAAGAAATACAAGGTCAATAACCACAACACATGCATTCCAGCCTCAAAAAATTAGATAATTAGCCATCTTAGCCGAGTACTATTTCGCGCTCTCTCTTCTTAAGGTTTTATGAAACTGCCCAGGTCTAGGCTTAAGCAGATCCTAATTGCATGAGTCTATAGATTTGCCGTTGCAGTTGGCCGCCTGGCACTCTCGTGTGAGTGTGCCTCAGCTGGCTCTGTGGGTGACGTGCAGTTGCTCAGAGCAAGCCCACTAATGATGTGATTATAGAAACTTCTTGGATTCCTTTTGTCCCTCACGTCTCCGTGGCCCTGATATGTGGGACACGTGTGGCATTTTAGTCTGATGGGCTCTTGCTTTATTACCCACCATCTGGACCCAGTGTTGGTGGCACTGGCTAGGAGGAGGCGAAATAAAGGAACCAAGAACCAGGCCAAAGCCCTAAGCCTGGGCCCCTGTGATGTCCAGCTGCCTCTGCTGTCTTTCCCCTTTCCCACTAAGAGCACCAGACTTTCCCAGAAATCTGAACTGGCCCTAGGACGTGTCCCCTCCCAGGGGCCCACCTTGAGGACAACGAGACTTGCTTTCTCCTTCAGTTCAAATATTCCATCTGCCACTTGGAAGAGGTACTTTTTTTTATTTTTGAGATGGAGTCTCACTCTGTCACCCGGGCTGGAGTGCAGTGGCATGATCTTGGCTCATGGCAACCTCCACCTTCCGGGTTCAAGCGATTCTCCTGCCTCGGCCTCCCCAGCAGATGGGACTACAGGCATGCACCACCACTCCTGGCTAATTTTTTTTTTTTAGTAGAAACAGGGTTTCACCATATTGGCCAAGCTGGTCTCGAACTCACAACCTCAGGTGATCCACCCTCCTTGGCCCCCCAAAGTGCTGGGATTATAGGCATGAGCCACCACACCTGGCCAATGGAAGAGACACTTTTTAAGAATGGAAAAAAGTACCTGGCATGACTTTTACTTTTCCATAAAGAATGGATGTTTTAACTAAAGGCGACAAGAAACGTAACATACAAGAGAAAAACTCGTACAAAAGGAAGGGAGAAGAAGAATGAAGGGAGGATTCTGATGAGGTGCTACTTCAGAGGCACCTGCAGCCCTGATAAGGGATGTGTACACTTCTAAGGGTGCATAGTTCTCTCTCATGCCACGTCTCTTGGTCTTACCCAATCATATAAAAAGAATCTATACTTGAATTCTAAAGGAAGATGGGGAACAAGGTTTCTCTTGGGTTGGTCTTTTCTGCCTCGGTAACCTCTACCTTGTTATTTCAGGGGGTAACCATTATCACACTGAAATGTTCATGCCACGTAAGAATGAAGAGCAGGGCATAGCAGTCTAGACTGCTATGACATGAGTGAAAACGGTGAGTTCTGCAGAAACCCTGCGGCAGTGGTTCTCAGTCAGGGGAAACCTTGCCCCTCCTCCTGTGCAGAGAGTTGGCCATGTCTGGAAACGCTTTTGGCTGTTACAATGCGGGGTGGGGGGGTACAACTGGCATCTACCGGGTAGAGACAACAGCACTGCCAATGCTACAACACACGGGATAGCCCCCACTGTAAGAACTATCCTGCCCAAATTGTCAATAGTGCCAAGGTTGAGAAACTCTGCCCCCAGGTGAAGTTGTAGCTAGACTATAAACCTCTTAAGGACAGAAACCAGGCCCTGTACCCCTTTTCTAAACACAGGAGAGGAAAATAGCAGGGTTAAGTTAAACGATTCAGTCCCAATTGTCCCAACCTGGCTAAACTTCAGATCCTTCCCCAAAGTCCATGCACTTTCTCTCATAGGGAATTTTTGATTTTTTAATTATTTAAGAGACAGGGCCTCACTCTGTCACCTAAGCTGGAGTGCAGTGGTGTGATCAGGGCTCACTGCAGCCTTGAACTCTTGAGCTAATTTGATCCTCCTGCCTTGGCCTCCCAAAGTGCTGGGATTATAAGAATGAGCCAACACACCCAACCATCTTAGACCTTTTTTTTTGAGACAGAGTCTGGCTCTGTCACTAGGCTGGAGTGCAGTGGTGTGATCTTGGCTCACTGCAACCTCTGTCTCCGAGGCTCAAGTGATTCTCCTGCCTCAGCCTCCTGAGTAGCTGGGACTACAGGTGTCCACCACCATGCCCGGCTAATTTTTGTATTTTTAGTAGAGACGGGGTTTCACCATGTTGGGCAGGATGGTCTGGATCTGTTGACCTCATGATCCGCCCACCTCGGCCTCCCAAAGTGCTGGGCTTACAGGCGTGAGCCACTGCGCCTGGCCCCTAGATGATTTTTTAAGCATTACTTTTCTCCTGGCAGAATTTTCTGACTCTATAGTTCTTGTGAACTTTCAAAGAAAGCCCTGAATAAGCCAGACCCTAATTACAAACGTGCCTCAGTGGAAGAGGCTACAAATTGACTTCAAATTGCTCAAGGTTCATACTGACAGAGTCTCACACCATAAACCTGAAACAGCACGTTACAGTCTGAGGCCTGCTCCAAGCTGGGCGAGAGGGGTCTCGTGAATGCAGGCCCCCTGGGCAGATGAGGTTTGGGCCTCCACCCCTTTGGGGCTGCGTCCTCACTGATCCTTGGGAAGCAGCCCCTCTTGCTGCCTGTGCCTTTGGGAAGCGAGAGGGAGGGGGGAATTCTGGCCAAGCTTCTATAATCCGCCTCCAAATGAACAGGTTTGCCTTGGACCACCACACACTGGTTCCGGCCTGGGCTTGTGGAAGCACCAGCTCTGGGCAAGCCGTGCAGGAAGACCAGTGGCACCTCTGCATTTGGGCTTTGATCGTGATGACCTAAGCCAGGGGTTGGTCTGCAGGCTTCTGCTTAGAGGCCTCTCAAACTCCCCCAGCCAGACTGGGAGGATCAACTGAAGCACTTGGCTACAGACCTACAGGCACTGCCCACACTACAAGCAGCTGCTTAGACCTGAGCCGGTCTAAGAAGATGGCTAATTATTCCCAATGCCACAGTCCATCGTCACAAATGGGGTTACTTTTGGATGTCGGGGTCAAGCTCCTGCACGGATTCTTCTGATCCTCTGTAACTTCCCTCAAACACTGTCCCTGCAATGCAAAGTCAGGGTTGGCAGTTGGCAGTGTCCATTTAACCATCACAACGTGTTCGCACTGAAAGGATGTTAGATCACCTAATCCAACTGGCTTTTTTGTTTTTTTTTTTTTTGAGACGGAGTTTCGCTCTTGTTACCCAGGCTGGAGTGCAATGGCTCAGCTCACCGCAACCTCCGCGTCCTGGGTTCAGGCAATTCTGCCTCAGCCTCCCGAGTAGCTGGGACTACAGGCACGTGCCACCATGCCCAGCTAATTTTTGTATTTTTAGTAGAGACGGGGTTTCACCATGTTGACTAGGATGGTCTCGATCTCTTGACCTCGTGATCCACCCGCCTCGGCCTCCCAAAGTGCTGGGATTACAGGCTTGAGCCACCGCGCCCGGCCTTTTTTTTTTTTTTGAGACAGAGTCTCACTCTATCACCCAGGCTGGAGTGCAGTGGCACAATCTTGGCTCACTGCAACCTCCATATCCCAGGTTCAAGTGATTCTCCTGCATCAGCCTCCCCAGTAGCTGGGATTGCCTGGTTCTGTGTTGCCGAGGAAACCAAGGCCAAAGAAAGGACATGATTAGTCCACAGCAGGCAGCCAGGAGAAAACAAACCCAGGCCTTGAACCTAGGCCTCCTCACTATAAGGAGAGTATATACCACCCGCCCTCCCCAGAGGTGCCTAGCTGAGCTCAGAGAACACAGCCAGCAGTGGAGCCCTGAAATCAGAGCAAAACTCCACCTGATCTATGTGGGCAAAGTCCCCAAGATCCTGGCAGAGCTTTTATGTTTTTTGTTTTAAGAGTTAAAGTAGTTCCATTTAACCCTTGGATATACATTCTCCACTTAGAAGAATGAGAAAAGACAGCGCTATACCCAGAACAGATACACAGGGGTAATTCCATCCACTCAGTTCATTTCCTAGAAAAGAAACTGTCAGTCATCATCACACAGATTCTGTTTTCCAACTGAGACACTGAGGAAAGAGGGAAATGATCTTAACTAGCAGTACCTGGAGAGGAGAAAACACCAAAGACCGATTCTCGGGCAGTTCTTCATGCAAAGACAGAGAAGGACACAATCCTGACCATACGGGTGCATCAGTTTCTAGAGCTTCCTGGGAAGGGCCTTCAAATACAGTCTCCATATGTTTAACTAAGCCTAGGAGGTGAGAGTTATTACCTCATATAATAAGAAAGGAACCAAAAAAGGCATACCAGGGGAGACACAGAGAGTGCATTCTCACAGCGGGTTAGTGGGTTATCTTATGATAATTATTACTAATTTTGAGACAGAGTCTGTTACCCAGGCTGGGTGCAGTGGTTCGATCTCAGCTCACTGCAACCTCTGCCTCCTGGGTTCAAGTGATTCTCCTGCCTCAGCCTCCTGAGTAGCTGAGATTACAGGTGGATGCCACCATGCCCACTAATTTTTGTATTTTTAGATTTGGGTTTCACCATGTCGGTCTCAAACTCCTGACCTCGTGATCTGCCCACGTCGGCCTCCCAAAGTGCTGGAATTACAGGCATGTTCGTATCTTTAAATATGAACACCTGGCCTGGTTTGGTCCACACGTGATGTGGGGGATGAAATGGAACCGCACAGACCTGTCATGAAGATTCCCTAGCTGGAAACCAATTGAGAATCTCCAGTAAGAAAATGAGCTTAAAAATGAACTCGGAGGCCTGAAGAGGGGTGTGGGCCCCAGGACTGCTCCCTCACCCCTTTTCTCTGACACCCAGCTCCCACCAGTGTTGACATAGGCATCAAGCAAGAAAAAAGGTTCACGTCCTACTGGGGAGTTACTGGTTACAGGTTTAAACGGGAGAACCAAGCCCTTGTAGCATTAGGAAGAAACCAAACTATTATAATAGCTTCAATTCAGAACCCACGTGCTCGTGCTTATGCAAGCTCCAAGGTTAGAAAGGCAGTGCACCAGGGTGCTCTGTGGCCTAACGGGCCTGTCACATTAGACCACGAGCTGCTCTAGCCATGGATGTGGGTTATGCCCAGTTTCACATCTAACGTAGAAGCATTCCTGGTCATTCGGTGGTGGTGCATGAATCACCCGGCCAGGCCTTGGATGCCGAGAAAGCCTTGGGAGGGAAGTCGTAAGTATGTCATGGAAAGGGTCCTATCCTGTGTCTGAGAAGGGATAATTGTCTGGCGCAGAGACGTCCCCAGGGAATTCTCTCTTCCCCACTTGTGCAAGACTCCCAGACTTAAAGAGGGCTCTGGTCCATGTGCCCGGAGCCCCGGCTTGAGCTTCTTGGCAAAGGCTCAGGGAAGTGGAGAGCCGTGAAGGGAGGCCCCAGTGAGCCCCACACCTAGTCTTAAAGGCACCTGGTTCCCATGGCAGCCAGAGAGCTCTCAGCCAACCTCTTGAGGGCGTCAGTGCCAGAGCCTGAATTCACAGGAAAGAGCCCAAGCACCACACTCAGCCCCCCTCCCCCAAGCACAGCCTCTCCTCACCTTTGGGGAAGGAGGTGTACACCAGCCTCTCGTCGAACTTCTGGACCTGCCGAAAATTGTTGACCATTTCTCTGGGGGAAGGGTCATCCATGTCTGTGCAGTACAGGGCTGTCTCCAAAGCCAGCAGCTGAGGACAAGAGCAGAAATAGCCCGCAGGCAGAATGACCTCCTCACCTGGCCCCCCGGGAAGAGATGAGCTCTCGCCTCTTGCACCTGGGAGAAGCAGCGGGAAAGCCAGAGAGCTGGTTCCCTCCACAGTGGGTGACTGGGAGCTGGGCAGTGCCGGGTTTGTCTTTCCAGCACCCAAGACTCCAGGGAAGGGCAGTGCTGTTAGTTCCTAATTATACCTGGAATCTGCCCCGTGTGGAGGGAAACCTGGGGTAAAGGAGAGCTCCTTAGCCTCCCACGGAGATTGTGTTCCTCTTTTGAACCTGAATTGGAGCCCAGCTTTCAACCAGGGGGTCGTAGGGCTAGCTCTGATGCTTACATCAGAAGGAATAAAGGACGGAGGTTAGGTGTTTCACAGGTCGTCTGATTTCGGGTTCCATGGCATTTTCATGCACCTGCATAGATGACATAACCTGTTTCCAAGGCAGGCTCTGGGGTAGGATGCTGCTGCTTCCCCGCAGATTTCATCCAACTTTTGGTTCAACACGTCCCCATTCCTGTCTGCCCACCTGCTGCCATTTATCAGGTGACTCAGAGCAGAAGCTTATTATAAAGAGAAGGAGCAGCTGTGAGGCTGCCCTGGCTGCATGAAGCTGGGGGGCCTGTGAGCCTGTGTGCAGTGCTGGCCCCAGCCCCGTCTCCTGGGGAGCCATTTTTCTTCTGATGAATTTAGGCTGTGGGGTCTAGGTATGAGCAGTGACATGGAACTCAGATGACCTAACTTAGGGTCTCAGCTTTGTCACCAAACACTGGATGACCCCACAAGCTTCCACTCCTCCCTCCCATCTCCTGTAAAATAAGCTTAGAGATGATGGCTAGGCATTTTTTTCCCCAGTTTGCACTAGACCTTGAGCCTCGTGGGGGCAAGGACCCTCGCTTAGTCATTGCTGCAATCCCATTTGTTAAACGATTTCATCTGATCCGGTCTTTATTCTGCCATGTAAAGGAACCAGGCTCTCTCCTTCCTGGGAAGTGAATACCACCCAGCCACTGAGGATATATTAGCAAATGCAGCTTTCTTTTTTTTTTTCTGAGATGGAGTTTTACTCTTATTGCTCAGGCTGGAGTGCAAAGGCGCGATCTCAGTGCACTGCAACCTCTGCCTCTTGGGTTCAAGCGATTCTCCTGCCTCAGCGCCCCCAAGTACCTAAGATTACAGGTGCCCGACAGCAAGCCCAGCTAATATTTTATATTTTTAGTAGAGATAGGGTTTCATCAGGTTGGCCAGGCTGGTCTTGAATCCCTGACCTCAGGTGATCCACCTGCCTTGGCCTCCCAAAGTGCTGGGATTACAGGTGTGAGGCACTCTGTCCGGCCTTTTAGCTCTTTCTTTAAAGCACTAGGAGACATGTATTCATTTGCCTAGCTTGACTTCTTTTGAGGCTCAGCCTGGAATGTCGGCAGTGCTTTCAGATACCTGTGATAATTTGGAGAAGTTTTGAAGAGCTGCCAATGAAACTAAGTGAGGAGTTACCTGCTCCTGGGAAATTTGCACAGGGTTTCGGAAAACTGTCCAGAGCACAGTAGGGTTGCAAGGGGGTGTGGTCAGGGACCCCTGGTAGCGGTAATACTCAGCAGTCCTCTCCGGAAGCAGCTCTTCAATGTTGAATCCCGGGATGAATGCTTCCTGGCCTAGGGAGACATGTCGCAGGGGAGATGGTGTCAGCCTCACTCCCCGGGGCATAAGTGCAGATCGGCGGAGTGCCTGAGCCTAGAAACGAACTAGCCCCTCTCAGGGTCATCCCACCCCGGGACCTGGTTGCAACATTGCTCAGAGACCTACTGCTTATAACCTGCTGAACACAGACAGCGCCTTCCCCTTGCACTTGTTGTTCTCAAAGTCACACAAGGCTCACTACCTCCTCCTCCAGCAGAGTGAATATGCATGCGAGGACCTCTCACCTTTGTACTTTACACGTTGAAGGTGACTGAAGATCTTGTCATAGGATGGATTGAAGGACCCCATCTGCAACAGAGACAGGGCAGGTTAAACTGGGGCAGAACAGGAGAGGCTGAGCCAGTACCGATGACTGCTATCAGAAGGGCAAGGCTGCAGGGATGTTGCCACCACTGCCAAGGTCCTTCCTGAAGGATCCACCTTACTGAACAATTACTACGGATCACCAGGCTGTTGAGAGTTAGGGTAATGATCCCGCCTGCTCACATCTCAGGATGTCCTGTTTTCAGCTTAAGGCATTGGGCCTGAATGTCCTGGGGTATGGGGTACAGTGTGTGCTCTTGATGATCCAGATGTGAGCCCGAAGGATGTGACTAACACCCACATCACCCAGAACTTAGGGAGCTCTGAGTTCACAAAAGCCATGTCAGACAAATGAGCATGTTGGGAAATGAGGTACATGCTGCCTCATTAGGAAAAAGCATGCAAGCCGATCAGAAGACATCACTGTTTCTTGGGATAGAGAAAGAATCCATTCCAGAGTTCATATAGAGCAGGGGTCCCCAACCCCCAGGCTGTGGCCTGGTACTGGTCTTTGGTCTGTTAAGAACTGGGCCTCACAGCAGGAGGTGAACAGTGGGCAAGCAAGCATTCCTGCCTGAGCTCCGCCTTCTGGCAAAGCAGCAGAGGCAGCCATTCTCATAGGAGAGTAAACCCTACTGTGAACTGTGCAAGCAGTGGATCTAGGCTATGTGTTCCTTATGAGAATCTAACTTGATGATCTGAGGTGGAACAGTTTCATCCCCAAACCATCCACCTCCCTGCTCCCTGGCCCGTGGAAAAACTGTCTTCTATGAAACTGGTCCCTGGTGCCAAAAAGACTGGGGACCACTGATCTACAGGATGAAGCTTGGATAGCAGGTGTCAAGGGTTCAGGGGCAGATGGAGTATGATGGGGCAGGTGGAGTATGATGATCCCTTTCCAGTACAGGTCCTCCCCAGCTGGGCAATTCCATGCCTTATGCAACAGGGCTAGACGTTAAGGCTTATTTTTCCAATGGACCAAAGAACATTCCCCATTTCTGCTGCTCAGCCACAGAAAGTGCTGCCTCCAGGCCAAGAGAGAAGGGACACTATAGGGGGATACCCACTGCTCTGGAGTTGACATAGAGCCGATACAGGAGCAGCAGATTACCAACAGGTATGCATGGAACCGAAGGTGGAATCCGAGTCTCATCCCTGCTTCAAATTTCATGTGAGAACCTTTTCACTATCTCTTACCTCAATGAGAACGGCTAGGACAGCAAGGCCTTCTGACTTGTTGCTGGCACTGCTGGCATCGGGATACAGGTCTGAGTTATAATGGACAATGTGCAGCTACCGTGGAGAAAAAGAAAATGAGGGGTCCTTGCATGCATATTATCAGGAGATAAGCAACTCATGAGAGCTGGTCACTTCTGCAGAAGACTTGAATCCAAGTGGGAGGACAGAACCCCAGCCCCTTAGCCCCTCAAACTAGCTTAGGTCTCTCAGACCCTCCCCTTATTTTGCCAAGGATAAGGACGTGTGCCCAAGGTGGTCAGGGCACAGCTTCCTTTGATGCCTTTTAGAGACATAATACCTAAGTCAGTACATGCAATATACACCAGTTTGATCTGGAAGGGCAGGGTGACTCGAAATGGAGGCTTCCAGGACATAGGTAGATTTCCATTTTTTCTGACTGGCAACTGGTTGAGAGTTACTATCAATAGAAAGGAATGTCTGAGCTCGATAAGGGGTTGTAGAGACCAAGATTTTATCATGCAGATGAAGCCTCCAAGTAACAGGCTTCAGAGAGAACAGACTGTAAATATTTCTTGTCAGACTTGAGTTCTGTGTTGATGTTAATGCTGGTGAGCTTTTCCTGAATTCTGAGATGGAGGAGGGTGTCCTGAGTCATGTCCAGCTCCCTCTTCCCATCGTGGCCTGAACGAGTTTTCATGTTAACTTTGGAATGCCCTTGGCCAAGAGGAGGGGTCTATTCAGATGGCTGGGGGAAGGGTGGGGGCTTAGATTTATTCTGGTTTACACAACACATGCATTTTTGTTGGTTCTTTGTCCTTGAGACTATGACATATTGAGATATTATTTCTTTTCTCTTCATCCTTTTGCATCTCATGTTTGTAAATACAATTCAAACCTATGTTATCGAATACAGCTTCATTTCCCCATTTTGAACTTTAAATGGCTCCTTCTAATTAAAAAAAAAATATATATATATATATATATAGCAATCAAATTATTTCTTCTTTCTTTTTTTTTTTTTTTTTGAGATGGAGTTTTGCTCTTGTTGCCCAGGCTGGAGTGCAGTGGCATGATCTAGGCCCACCACAACCTCCTTCTTCTGGGTTCAAGTGATTCTCCTGCCTCCGCCTCCCAAGTAGCTGGGATTACAGGTGTGCGACACCACGCCCAGCTAATTTTGTATTTTTAGTAGAGACAGGGTTTCTCCATGTTGGTCAGGCTGGTGTCGAACTCCCAACCTCAGGTGATCTGCCTTCCTCAGCCTCCCAGAGTGCTGGGATGACAGGCCTGAGCCACTGCACCTGGCCTGTTTCCTTTAAGTGGTCCTCTATGAAGGATTCCTTCAGGCCCCCTGCTTCACTATCTTCCCCTCAAAGGACTTAGTCTGCCACCCTGCCATCCCGTCTTGGCTTGGCATCACTTCGAGAAATAGAGCTGACTTCGATATGACTAAAACCCCTGAGGTCCTAAGTCCCTATTTCTTTTTACAGCTGACCTTTGAACTCGTGGTTTGTCTAAGTACTTTTCTTATTGTGTTCAGAGGAAGTGAAGACGAATCCAAGCATAAAGGAACTCCCTGTCGTGGAGACTAAGATAGAATCTTATATGGACTCCATCCAAAAGAACCACTACACTTCCAAGGCCCTTCCTTAAAGGACCCACTTCAGAGACACCTTGATGTCTTTTCTCTAGTAATGGCATTTATGGTCCATCTTAACTAGACCCTTGGTCTGATGATGTGACTTAATAGCAGAAAATACAAGAAGTAGAAATATTTTTATTTTATTTATTTATTTTTTTGAGACGGAGTTTCGCTCTGTTACCCAGGCTGGAGTGCAATGGCACGATCTCGGCTCACCGCAACCTCCACCTCCTGGGTTCAGGCAATTCTCCTGCCTCAGCCTCCCGAGTAGCTGGGACTACAGGCACGCACCACCATGCCCAGCTAATTTTTTGTATTATTATTATTTTTTTTAGTAGAGACGGGGTTTCACCTTGTTGACCCGGATGGTCTCGATCTCTTGACCTCGTGACCCACCTGCCTGGGCCTCCCAAAGTGCTGGGATTACAGGCGTGAGCCACTGCCCAGCCAGAAATATTTTTAAATACATAAACCCTGCCAACCTACACCCTAACTTCCTTTGTGAAAGGAAAATAAATCTTGAAACCCCAAAATCACTAAGCCAAAGGGAAGAGTCAAGCTGGGAACTGCATCAGGAAACCTGCTTCTCTTTCTGTTCCTAAATAAAACCACTACAAAGATTAAAAACAAACAAAAAAAGCTACACATCTCCCTCACATTTTACCCACTGGGAAATTCACTGTGGGCCCCAAGGTCTTTACCCTAAAACAGGTGAAACCTGTTGAATTTCACCCAGACAATGTAAATTGGTAACTTATCTTCACAGGATCAGGACAAAGGACAGAACTCAGTCATCCCTCTGCTCACCTGAGACAAATGCGTACCTAATTGCTTTCTCTGCCCATGTCCATTTCGTCTTGTAAGAATGCAGATTCGCTATCGGAATGCACACGTGACTATTCCTCTACTCCTCTCTCACATGTGAACACTGATCAAAGACTCAGAAGAATGCAACCTCTTGCCTCCTCACACCTTTTAAACATTTCCCCCTCTTTCCCCAACATCTGTCCTTTTCCCTTTAAATATTGAAGCCCTCAATATCATCTTTGAAGAAAGGCGCAGACTTTTCTGTCTCCCAGGCATGTGTCCTTAACCTTGGCAAAATAAACTTCTCAATGGATTGAGGCCAGTCCCAGACACTTTTTGGTTTACAAGTTCTTTATTCCCTGTGGTGCAAGCAGAAGTCTCCACGCTGCAATTTGGTAGCCTGGAGGAAATTTCAGTCCTTGAGCTTCAGGGAAGGACCTGCTCTGAAATATGTGAACCTCCAGTGGTGCCATCCTATTGAGCCAGATCCTGTCCCTTCCAGGCATGGAAGTAGACCTATGATTAGCCTGAGACATTAAGCAGTTCAGCAGTCGTGAAAGGCAGGGAATGGTCACATCAGTATTTGCCATGGACTCCCCTGGCTGATCAGTCAGCAGCCTTTACCTCCTTGTATTTCCCTGTAAATATTCAGAGCCACACCCCCACTTCAGGGCTATGGGAGTGCCAGAATGGAGCATCTCAACCCCCTCCTTGCCCCCCCCATCCCACAATTGCATAGGGACAAATGCTCTGCCTTCCTCTAATTTTCTTCTGGCATTTTGCAATAGCACTTCAAGGTGACATGCCAAGATGCTGTGCTGGCTGACATCCCATCCCTCCTGAGTCTGCTTGCCATGATGTCCTGCACGTTGGATGGCCAGGCATCCCTAGACTTGTAACAGGTAGGAGAGTGGCCCTAGACCATGTCCCCGTGTTCTAAACACAACCCAAAATCAGAGAAAGGAAAGATAGCATCAACAAGATGCAGAGAGCATGACACAGGAAGAAAGGCTGAGAAGTTCTGGGGAGCAATGAGCCCAGTGTGAGTCAGCAGGAGATTTTTGTGTGCACAGACAAGAAGTCAATGTCTAAAAGCTGGGAACACGGCCTCCCTGGCATCATCACTCAGTAAAAGTCACAGAGACAAACTCAGCATGTTTAGGAGAAGCAAGGGACCAGGATATGCAGATGAGCTGGTGGAGTGGCTGCACACCCCTGTGCCAGGGCCAGAGGTGGGGCAGAGAGCCTGAAGGCAGCCTGTCCCATGCTCTGATGTTATCTGCACAGCAGCCAGGTGGAGAGGGTGCCACACCACCCACTGCAGGGCAGCCTCTGCCAAACTGGCAGCCCTACTTACCTCGGCGGCAAAGTGCTCTCCGCTGATGGTGTGCTCGGAACCGTGCGGGTCTTTTGGGTTCCCCCAGTGCAGGTGCAGCTGTATGGCACTGTAGCGAGACTGGAGCCCCTGGATGTGCATGTCTGAGGGCAGGGTCAGCTTCACTGTGGGGAGTGGAGGAGCAGCCTTCAGAGCCCTGGCCAGCTGTGCGCTATCAGAGAGCAGTCATGCAGGCAACGCTCCCTCCATCCCTGCCCCCACCACCCCGGAACTCAGAGAGATAGGTGGGTGGGGCGAGGTGCAGAGCAGAGATACAACCTCAAGGTCAGGCTCTTTCCCTGAGAGTGTCCCCTTTTCCCCAAAGCAACTCCGGTGGCACCGGCACCTTCTTGGTTCCCCTTGGAAAATGATGCCAGAAACACTAACCCTAGAACAATGGATGGGTGTTTATTTATTCCATGATGGATCAGCCACCTGGAACCTTTAGTGAAGTACCTTCCAAGCTTTAGAATTACATAACAACAATGAGAACTGCTATTTATGAAGCATTTACTTCACCCTATATGCCAGGCCCCAACATACATAATCTCCAGTCTTCATGGTACCCATCAACATGTCCATTTCCAGATGGAAGCTGAAGGAGGCTAAAATTCTCACCTAGAGTCTCTTGGCTCATAAGCAGTCAAGCCAGGGTTCAAGTCCAGGTTGGTCTGACTCCAAAGCCTGGGTGCCCCCCCACCCCCCAAAACTGTGTGGTTCCTTGAGTTGTTTATGATGGTCTGGAATTCACTCCAGCTGCACAGCCAGAGAACCACCGGGCTCAGCTTGTCTCCTGCCCCATCCCGAGAGATGTGCTGCTTCTGGGAAGCGCAGCCCTGGCAGGACCATGGGAGCCCAGGGCTTCCAGCATCCCCTGGAGAGAGGGCTCCAGGGATCTCTCAAAGGCGCTCCCGCCCTGTCCCTTCTGCTGGGTGCCTTGGCAGAACCCCTTCCTGCCAGATGGAAAAGGGCAGGCCTGGAAGCCGAAGGAGGCTCAGACCTGGGTCTCCGAGGCCTCCCCCTCACCTGAATGGCCATTGTTGGTCAGGAGAAATTGCTCGTTGGCAGACAGATTGTAGCCTTGGAACGTGAGGGGTGTGAGGCTGGCATCATACTGAAGGATGTCGCTGTGCAGGTCTATGGGGGACTGCAACAGGCCCCCACACGATGGGTACTTCTTGGACCAGCTGTTCTCCCCATCAGGACCTGAACACAGAGATCCAAGCTCAAGATTTAGTGAGTTTCTCACAAAGGGTTTTTCCTTACCTTCTAATTCTCTGTTCGATACAATTACTCCTTTTCCCCTCTTTTCTGAACCCCCAGAGGTAAATCTTCAAGGCCCACAGTCTCGGCCTCCAGAATCAGGCCCAGCAACCACTCAGGACCAGCTGCTCTTAAGTGATGTGGGGAACGAGGACTAGAGCTGCTCAGGCCAGAGCTGGGAGCCCACCGGACTCTGCTTTATTTTGTACATTGTTCTTGACACACACGCGAAGACCTGTTGACTCTCAGCAGTTCGGGATTTGCTTAGTGAGCCCCTATCATGAGCCAGGAATCACCCTGGGTCTTGGAGCTGCCGGGTTTTATGCAGCAGAGCCCCTGCTCATCCAAGCTGGCCTTCTAGCAGGGGAGAATCTAGCAAATTTGCCAGGCCACCTCAGGCGGGAAAAATTAGCATCTTACTAACCACAGTGCCAAGTGTTATGTTGGTGCAAAAGTAATTGCGGTTTTTGCCATTCCTTTCTTGCAAAACCCGTAATTACTTTTGCACCAACCTAAATAGGTCTTTGCAGCTGCTGGTTTTGCCAGTATGACCTTCCTGATGAGAAACCCCTGAGGACACTGACTCTTGATACTCACATGTAGAGTAAGTATAGAACCCAAACTGATAGGGAGGCTTGAAAAATGTCGGATAATTACAGGCCTGGAGTCACGGAGTGAAGCGCAGGGTTTAGGCCGGGGAGGTGGGTGGAAATATGACCACACTATAAACTAATTATTATAATATAATTGATACACTATCAGTGAAGAGGAACAGACTTTAAAAAAAGAAATTCCTTCAGGGCTCAAGCTTCTTCCTAACTACCAGATAGCAGTTCCTCCGCTGGAAACGAAAATAAACATCTTATGTGCTCTTTAAAGAATGTAAATCTATGTTTAAAAGATTATCTCCATGGTAATTAAACATTTCAGGCCAAGGTTTTTCTAGAAAAGCCAAGAATTGGCATGTCTTGACTCCTTAGGGTAGACCCAGGGGGTCCGGTGGGCCCCATCAGAGTTGAGGGTCCAGCTTTGCCATCTGGGGTCTATTCATCAGTATTTTGACACAAGGAAGGGGATTAAATAAAGGGGGAAAGGAACACCACCTCTTCTGGGAATTCTTCTGTAGACTACCGCACTGTTTCGCAGGAGTGTAAATGTTATATTCACCCCACAGAACCCTCTACATCATTTTCTCTAACTAGGGGACCTTATCTGAGAGTGGGAAGAATCAGAAGTAATACTTGGTACCCAGGTTCATTTAAAACGCTACGAGGCGTTGGTCCCAGGCTTAGTTCTTACTTCGAGGTCCAGACACACACATTGGAACCCTGCTGATTTTTCAGGCTGTCAACCTTCAGCTACGCATTCTCAGAAATGTCAGAGCATGATGGAAATGCAGAACCTCCAGTCCAGCCTTTCACTGGACACCAGTCTTCTCCCTGGGGCATACCAGAGTCGCCACGGAGCTATACTATTCTTATTTTCTTTCTTTTTTTTTTTTTTTAAGATGGAGTTCCATTCTTGTTGCCCAGGCTGGAGTGCAATGGTGCTATCTCAGCTTACTGCAACCTCTGCCTCCTGGGTTCGAGCGAGTCTCCTGCCTCAACCTCCTGAGTAGCTGGGACTACAGGCACACACCACCACGCCCAGCTAATTTTGTATTAGTAGAAACACGTTTCTCCATGTTGGTCAGGCTGGCCTCGAACTCCCAACCTCAGGTGATCCGCCTGCCTTGGTCTCCCAAAGTGCTGGCATTACAGGTGTGAACCACCGCGCCTGGCTACTATTCTTATTTTCAAGGCCCCAGAGCAACTCAACTACACCAAGGGGTAGCAGGGGGCAGAATGAAGCAACTATGCGGCCTCATACAGACCCCCGGGGTCAGGAAGAGGCACAGCACAGGGTAAGACTCCCTAAGTGAGGCCGCCAGCCTTTTCTGTGCTCACATCACTGCCTGGGCCCACAGCCAGCAGGGCGGAAGCTGCCAGCCGGGCATGAATGAGAACAGCTCAGGAAGTAAAGAATGCAGCCGTGAGAAGCTTTCTCCTTGCGCACGTGACTAAAGGGAGCTGCATTAGAAGGGCTTGCTTTTCCCCTGGTGCAAGTTCAAAAGATTTCGTCAAGAGGGCATTTTGGTGATAAACAAGAGCCTCTAGAAGACAGGTACCCCTTATTTTCATCTGTGTCCCATGTTGTAAGGTCACATGCCTCATGGGCATTTAGGAAACATTCTCCCAGAGAATGAACGAAAAAAAGAGGGCTTGGGAAAGTGTGACGGGGAATGTGTCCTTTTTCTCTTGCCCTAAATACTCTTTTTTGGAAGTTAGGACCAAATGAGGTACTTGGGGCAGGAAAGACTAAGGATATTAAAGGCAATAGAGTTGGTGTTGGCAAAACCTTTCTTGGAAAGAGAAGCAGCTATGTTGGATCGGGGGGGTCCAGAGAAGGAGATTCCAGCATCAGCTGGGCCAACACCTCAGTGGGTCGTTCCCTGCTGGAGCCTCCATTGCCCTTCGTACAAACAGTGGAGGTTGGGTGGTGGGATGGATACGTGTGGATACTATGTTTTGGAAGGTTTCTTCTGGCTCTTAAGCTCTGATATTCATTAAGAATACTAGGGGCTGCGCATAGTGGCTCACGCCTGTAAACCTAGCACTTTGGGAGACTGAGGTGGGCAGATCATGAGGTCAGGAGATTGAGACCATCCTAGCCAACGTGTTGAAACTCTGTCTCTACTGAAATATAAAAAAACTAGCTGGGCGTGGTGGGGCACACCTGTAGTCCCAGCTACTTGGGAGGCTGAGGCAGGAGGATCGCTTGAACCTGGGAGGTGGAGGTTGCAGTTAGCCGAGATCATGCCACTGCATTCCAGTCTGGCAACAGAGTAAGACTTCGTCTTAAAAAAAAAAAAAAAATGCTAGAACTAATCACCTTTACCATCTGTCAGGCAAGTTTGAATGAGTCGGAGAGACTGCTCACGGCAAGGCAGCTCCTGGGCATGTGACGAGGTGCCCAGGGGAACCAGCTTCAGGAATGAGGGTACACGGCACCAGTGCTCCAGGACTGGCTGGGAGCAGACAGCCATCTACATCAGGAACCTGCCCCGGTCCTGGCTGCCAACCACAGAGGAGCTTGTCCTTAAGCGCCAGTCACAGATCTGTAGGGCAGCAAGGTCAGAAAGCCTGTCTCTGCCTCCTCCTTCTCCTCATCATTGTTATTTTCTGGTAGTAGCTTTGATCCTTGTAACTCTGTAACCTTATGGGGTAAACAAGGCAAGAATTGTACTATTTTATAGGTAAAAAATGGAGATTTAAGTGATTTGCCCAAAGTTTGACTTTGGCTAAGTAACAGTTACCTTGCTTGGCTCACAGGACTTCTGTGTCCTTCAGCATTTATCTAGGAGGTTTTGAGCACCTGAAACTTCCTGCCTCCTATTGCTCTCCTTGAAGGCAAAGACCATCGCTCATCCATCCCTGGACTTCCCACAGTGCCTCAAACAGGTGTTGAGCATCCAGCTTAGGATTGCCTCGGGAAAGGAACAAGCATGAAACAGGTGATGAGGATCGTAAGCTGGAGTCCTACGCTGGATTCCCAACACCTGTTTCATGTTTGTTCCTTTCCCGAGAAAGTGTGCAACTGCCTTAATTCCCTTGTATATTTCTTCTCTTCAAAAAAGAGGGGAAAGGTGAGATCACTTGCCCAGGTTCAAAGCGTACCCTCCTAGCTTTCTAGCTTACCTTTGTGCAGATGGGTTCTGTGTGGGGCCACCCATTGAAACTGAAATCCGATTCTGCCCTGGGAGATGGCCAGCCAAGGACATTCCTAGGCCCCTCCCCCAGCATGGAATGGCTAGTGTTTGTCCCAGCCTCGCACAGCTGGGGACACTGTCAGAGCAGCCTACTGTCTTTTGGGACGTGTAAGAGACAGAGGTGCCATGAGGGTGGACGCCGGGACAACCAATATCAGAGGTGACGACAGCAGCCCTTTCTGTTCCCTGAGCTGTGACATGTGGCTGCATAGTGCTGGCCTCATACTGGCCACTACACCCTGGGCTGCAATTTTTCGGGTCAGTCTCAGCTTTCACACTCGTGTCAAGTGCTCCGCAGCCGGAAATCCTCCAGCGGGAATGACTCTTCTAAAAGAAGCATTTATTTCCAGCTACCGTAAAAATTTGCCTTTGCTCTTCTGAGTTTTGACTTTGCTTCTCTAGCTGGATTCCTCCCATGCCTGTGACACAGGAGGATTATGTGCCTCTCACGGTTTGTTTTTCTAGGTAAAACCAAGGCATATTTCTTTCCTGTCTATGAATTGTTCCTGCTCTAGGCAAAACAAAAGTGGCCAGAATTCCTGTTTTGAAAGGTAACAAGAGATTAACAGGGCACAGCTCAAAATGCCTCTGGTGATTTCTGATTAGGAATTATGAGGCCCAGGATAGGGCCTGTATTATTCAAGGGCCAGATGTTTTTACAGAAAATTTCAAAGGTATATACAACAGTTGAGACAGGAGTGAAATGAACCCTACATCACCCAGCTTGGACCGTCTACAGTTCACGGCTAGTCCTGCCTCATCTATGCTAAGCCCATCCCCTTATCTACCTGGATAACTGGGAAACAAATCCAGATAGATTTCATCTGTACGTATTTCAGTATGTTTCTCTCAAACATAAGGGCTCTAAAACCACATTATCTGACTACACCTAGAAAGTTAACAATCAGTATCTTAAGATTATCAAATCCAGTGAGAATTTAAATTTTTCCAAATAGGTCGTAACTTTTTTTTTGAAAAGGAGTCGATCTGTCGCCAGGCTGGAGTGCAGTGACGCGATCTCAGCTCACCGCAACCTCCGCCTCCCAGGTTCATGTGATTCTCCTCCCTCAGCCTTCTGAGTAGCTGGGACTACAGGTGCGTGCCACCATGCCCAGCTAATTTTTGTATTTTTAGT